ATATATATATATATACTATATATGTACATGCATATATATCATATTTTGTAGTTATTCAAACTGCGCCGGATTAAAAAATTATTAAAATTATCATTAACTTTCCTTTTTTCTCTTTTGCTGCTTAATTCTCTGTTTTTCTCTTTTATATTTCTTTTTAATATTTCCAAAAAAGATCTTTCTAATAGGATAAATCGAGGCGAATCAAGTCAATATAAGTTTTAAGATAGTTGTTTTTTCATTTTTGTTTCAAATGAGTTGTTTTATGCTAGTTACTTCTATATGTTTCCTCTGTGTCAGAAACAATAGATAATAGATTTATATTGCGTATATAGATTCAGGGACAGTTGATGATATAAACGTCGAGATCGTGAGATTACAAAAAAAATTTTGTAATTAATATAAATTCATAATCTTAATTTTATGATTTTATAATAAAGATATGTTAAAACTTATGCAAATTATAATGATTTTTATCTAGGATATCTAGTTTGTTAAATCGATTTAATAAATGGCGAATTGAATTGTCCTTTCGGAGCGAATCGAGTAATTCTATTTCCTTGATATTTTTTGTTATGCAATAAGAAATACCATGTTTGTATTATTTGATTACATAAAACCAAGTGTTGTATGTGCTATAAAGATTAAAATTTTACAATAAAACTTAATGATAAAATTTGTTTTCATTACTTTTTATCAATGAAGAAAAATTAATCCGATTCGTTACGGTTTATTTAATATTCGTAATTTTTTTTGTTTATTCACACGTTTTTAATGCAAACATTAAACAAACTTAACGTTTTTGAATACACTTAAATATAATTTAAACACACTCTTTTAAACATCTCAATTTTTGAAGATAAAATTGACTTGAAATAATTTAAGTATATAACTCTTGTAATTATTATTAATACATGTGATAATTTCACATTATAGAGATTATCATCTCTAATGTAAAACAGACATAAATTTTGGATAGTGCAAATTTTTGCAGTATTTTTTAAAAAAATATATATAATAGCAATAATATATGATGATGTTTATATCGATGGATGTTTTTTGAAATAACATAAATTATTGTTATAAATAATGTGTTGCAACAAAAATTACGTATCAAAAATTATAGTATCGTTAATATTAATGTTGCTATTACTACTATTACTATTGACATTCTTTATAAATATTTTAATAATAATAACTTTAATAGTAATAACTTTATTAACGATTTATTTGTATAACTTCCATATTCAGATAGAAACATATTTTATATTTCTTTGAAGCTATTTTCATTATGTTAATAGAATCTATAATAAAATGTAATTAATAAATTATTAAATTTACAAAAAATATAATATAAATTATATAAATTAATGGATAAAGAACATATTTACGTTAAAACTTTTATTATTTAACCTTTATTTAACCTTTTTTTAACTATCGATAATGTGGGATTTTTTAAGATAGATATCGCCTCGAGATTCGGTCCGCCTCCTAAAAGAACTTGGTCAAGGACGCAGTGTCCAGCTGTTTGTTTCATTGTAAGGATGAATAGAAGAGTCTGTGGCCTTCAATGATGTATATTGCAGGTCGCGTATTATGTGCAAATAAAAAATTGAATTTTTTGTATCTCTTATCTTTGACGCTAAATTTAATGAGTATCTATATGAAGATTTTATTTTTAAAATAAATGTTTCAGTGTTTTATATCATTTTTTTCACTATTATTGCAAAATCAATATTATCAATATTTTCTTTCAAAAAGCATTGGCTGTATTGAACAGCTCAAAACTGATCAATGAGCAATGATTCTTTGATATGATTGATTCCTGAGATCTAGCGAAGAACTAAAAATAAAAACCAATTAATCAGGGTTAAAGGCTAATGCTTTTTTTTTAAGAATAAAACATATTGTGTTTCTTCTTAAATATATTTTTAATACTTTAAATATTTAAATACAGTATTATAAAACACATATCTAAAAAATATTTAAAAAATCGATTAAGTATATTTTAAAACACGTTTTTTTAACCTTAATCATATTAAAGAATCACTGAGCGATCACTGATTAGTTTTCTCTGCTAATGCAACCAAAGCGACACCTTGTGTAGGTGTAAAATGTAATCCGAACTTTTAAGAGCCTAAGCACAAAGATAGTTGTAACTGAGTCGTGAAATAGTCGCAGTTATAGATTGACCAAAATATTGTGCGTTGACCAGCACTCACGTTTTACGATTTGTTATAGTTACGGCCATCCTTATGGTGAAGCTCTAAAATTGACCGCGAGTACATTTTTGACGAGGCATCTCGTTCAGTGACATTCTATAGTGGAGAGAATCGACCATTACGAAAAGTTAAAGAAGAAATTCCACAAAGACTTGAAAAATTAAAGACAACACAAAAGATGTCCATTTTGTCATTTGTCAGATAACAGGAAAATGTTATGTAGACATGGCTTATATGGAAAATCTAGGAAGGAGTCATGGTATATACTATTATACAGGTTGTGCTATATAATATGCTTTTGAAATTCGTAAACACATTTTAATAAAAATGAAAGGAGTTTAATAATAAAAGGAGTTTAATAATTAAATTGTTGTAAATAATTTTACTATTTTTTTTTGCGAAAAATTTCATTTTTTATTCAAAAGTCTTTATTTTTAGACAAATAATTCAACTTTTTGAAGTTATCGCTTTTTAAACACATTACTATTTTTTTTTCTAAAGTACATACTCTTAAGTATTGTAGCCTAAAAGGAATTATTTTTGTTCATTCATATATAAAGATTATGAATTGAGAATTTTTAATCGATACGTTTTTTCAGAATTCTTACATTTAAATTTATAAAAAGTAAGTAAATGCAATACGGCTTTTATTATATAAAAACTTGTTAAAGATTTACAAGCACACTAAAATTTTTTAGATTTTTATATAGTCCGGAACAATAAAAAATCTATTGTAGATCTTAATGCCCCAAGTTATAGACTATGATCGAAAATTTCATATTGTCGGTGGAGAATTAAAAATAAATGAATATCCTATGATACATTAATTTGCTAGCATAAGATTGCTACACAAGTATTGTCTCTTTGATAGCAATTAACAATTTTTATAATGCATTCGCTCGATGAGCAGATTATCTACTTTGCTAATTTGCATCTATGATTACTATATCAACAGGCATTGCTTTCTTTTTTGCACTGTTACGTTAATCGATGATAGGATCTCAACTCATCTATCCTCATAAAATCTTCGTGAGAGAACGAATATAATTATTCATTTTCATAGGCAAATTAATCTTATTTTTTTCTTCGTATCAAAATCATTAACCAATCTCGGAACTCTGCGGAATTCTGCGCGCTCTTCAGTTCTTCATTCTTCGCCCTAAACGTCCCTGCAAAGGGATTATTCCAAACGACTCTTTTGCCTTCCTTCCTCAATTCTCTTTTTTTCTCTTTTTCTTATTTCAAATTCTAACTTCTCGAACTAACACAATTATCGCACTGAATCTCCTTGAGTGTACGTTAAAAAAACCTGCAGTCGGGGGAGGAAAAGAGAGAGAAAGGGCAGTAGTTACGATTTTGTAGGGTCAGGATCACCCCTTATAGGAGAGGGGACAACGAGAGAGCGAGTGCCACCCTCGAGTGTCATTCAGGGCGGATTAATAGATACGTCGGTTAGTTGAAGTTGCAAGGGGTGGAACAACTACCCCGTCATCATCGTTCCGTAGTGTTTGGGGTGCTCTTTGAGAATACTCCCCCTTCTCTCTGAGAGAAAGAGAGAAATAAAGAGCAAGAGAGTAACTCACTGAGATCGAAAAGATGCTGGAAGTAATGGCTGTTGACAACGACGGGAGAGGGATTAGGAAGTGCTAATTGAATGTTTAGGTATGGGTCACCGAAAGACGCATCGGGGACGTATAGCAAATTACTGCCTATTTTAATCAAGATTATTTACTTTTCAAATCTTTGCGTTTCATTTGTAAATAATTAAAAATTGCAATACAACATAGCTGTGATGAATAATAATAAATTTGATGTTATTGTGAAGTTCGATTCTGCTTACAATCGAGAAGCACAAATTGTTTCTTATAGAAATGTTATGAATCATTTTGAGTTATGAATTTAAAAGCAAATTTATCGTGAGAAATATCTTATATGTCACTTACCGAAATTTTTCTTCTATCTTTCATGATGATTTTTAATTAAGTCGTTAATTAAAAAATATCCCACTTGCACAGATTAAAACTTTAATTTAATCTTACTCTTAAATTTAATCTTAATCTATGCCAGTGGGATATTTTTTGATAAAATTTCTAAAGATTTTGTACGTACTATTTTTTATATTTTGGAATATGATTTTATTTATAGATAAAAGTTTGCAATAATAACAAAATATATACACTGAGAGAAAAATGTACTAAATTTTAATAAATATTTATTTGAATATAGTGCCAGTTGAATATTTACATATACTAAATATAAACATATACTTGTTTAATACAAGAATCATTAATTTGATTTATCTATTATTATTTTATTTAGCAAATATTTGTTTTCCGTAAATAAATGTTATTATTAGTACTATTTAAACAATTATTTATTAAAATTTAGTACATTTTTCTCTCAGTGAACTGTAAATAATAAAACAAAAGCCTAATAGAATTTCATTTTATTATCATCAAACAATCAATAATATCATTTTCGATCGAGAAAATATATTAAAACTGAATGTTTTACCCTTAAAAAC